TGCAATTAGTCAATTTGCAGGCAAGCTGAATCCAAGTCCCTCAGCCGGTGAGAGAGTGGATTGGTCTCTTGCTAACCGGAGTTCCCGGCAAAGAGAAATTCCCTAGGGCTGAGGCATCAGAGGCCTGGCAGCAGTGCCACACCCCGGAGGGGAATGAGCAGAACTCCCCGCTGCCTTTCCTCTTCCAATCTCTCTAGTAAGGTCCACCACACCACTCTGCAACCTGCTACTGGCAACAACAGTCTTGTTTTCAGTCAGTTATTTTACCATTTCCCTAAATCATTTATTAAAAGCACCACATTTAGGATTTAGTCCCACCCAACACTAGCAAATTAAGTTAGGGTGAACCAACTTCTGCATTACAATATTGCAACCATTATAATGCTAGCAAAGTGCTGCCAGTATTTTCCATAGGGATTGCCAGTTGACAATAGCATCAGGGGCCAAGCTGGCAAGATGTGATGTGCAATGCAATGAACCTGTAATTCAGATTGCACTGCTATGAAAGGGAAGAAGATATCGTGAGGGCTAAGTGTGTAAGTACAACACAGACTCATCACCAGCTTCTCACATTTTCCATTATTGCCAGTTAATCTCCTAAGCAGTTAGTGAATGAGACAGAATGAGCGCTTTTAGGAACATCAGTGTAGGGCAAGATGATCATCCAAATGTTAAGATCTGTTGCCTATAACTTCAGGAGCTAAAAGTCGGTCATTATGAAGAGGAATTGGGAGGGGTGGGGGGTGAAGAAAGGAAGACTGATGATTCCTTGGTTAAAAAACAAACCTAGGATTTGGAATACATAAACCTCCAGGATGCCTTGATTAGCTAAAAGCTACATGCTGTGATCTAGGTCCACATTTCAACAGGAGCTCAGCTCTAGTTCACATTTTTAAACAACTATTCATGATTCATGCTTTATGTAAAAGTACATAACATCTTCCACTGAAACGCTAAAATAAGGTGAGAAACCAAAGCTACTTCCAAACACGTTGCTCCCAATGTTACCCAATCACTGGGCTTCTTTTGGCTATAAGAAGAATTCTCCACACTGCTGGGTGTATGCACCCTTTTATGTATACATTCTGCTATGTCATATCCAATGTTGAAGATGAGGAACAGGAAGGTCCAATTCACCTGAACAACCATTTGAAGCAAAGCACACATTCACTATAATCTTTGCAGTTGACACAATTTCATTGCCCTGCAAGGAACGGCTTGCATCTGGCAAACTATAATATTTTTTTTAAAAAAAATGACTGGGGAACCCTTTCCATGTCATTTCAGCAAGGTGGTTTATTGTGGCAACTGGAAAGATTTTTTTCTTCTGATTTATTATTTAAATTGGTATTACAATGTAATAAAATAAAAAGAGAATATTAAAATAAAAATTTAAAAAGCATTTTAGTGCTATTTCCAACTAGATAAAATTAGCAGTTCACATTAAATAAAAGTTTTTAAAAATAACAAAATGCTAAAATGGTTATGGTGCTTGTGTGCTGAGCTGGTTACTGGTTCAGCCACCGGCTATATAGCCAAGCCTCCTTCTAACTCCTGCCCTTCAAATATATGCATAGAAGAGTATCACTAATGGTACCTACACCAGGAGGATTGTACTATTCTTCTGGTAGGGAAAATACAGGATGACAATAATTGGATGATGCATCATATAAATGCTCTGCCCAAAGTGAGCAACCTAAATATTGCAATTCCATGCTAAATGCCTAGAATGGAAACACCTCAATCAGCTCAGAGAGACCCAAAGCTCTCAGTGTTGCGTGAGAACTGGATTCAGAACTACAGTGCCTTTGTTTAGTTTATTCTGCATCCAAGATTCAGGTTTGCAAAGACTCTAGAATTATCCATAAGAGAAGGACAGAGTGAAGGGTGAGAGAATTCCTGACTATGTCAGAAATAGTATCAAGGTACTCTGTATACGTCATGTTCACACACAAGTTCAGACACTTCCAGTGTTGACTCTTGCACCAGACACCAGTCAAACAGTTCATCTGTGTCGTAGTGTGGAAAAATGGATAGGTTTGTTTTATTTGCAGCATGTCGACTGTAATTCTTTTGCATGCTATCTCTTGAACAAAGCTTGCACCACCTGAAATTCTGTATGTTCTCTCAGGAACTACAGCCACCCCGTCTAGATTGATTATAATGGAAAGGACAAAGATATGGCCAAGGCCACCAAGCTAGATTTCTCTTTGGAAACTTGTCAGGAGAGTTTCTTGGGGAATACATATGAACAGAGCCAGAGACATTGATAAATTTCTCTTCTGAACAATCAATAAAAATAAAAAAAATTCCCTCCATCCTATTCAGGCTTCTGCTGTGGACACAAGGGCCATAATTACATTGTCAAAAATTCAAGTTACCCCAGCTGACTGAGACCTCCTTTAAAGCTGACATGTGATTGGCAGGCAGTTTATGGGGAGTGTGGTCTGATTGGCAGGGGAGCTGGGTAAAGCCAAAGGCAACAGTGCAATTTCCCCGTCTACTCCGACCACCCGAGCACAGGACTGCCGCTTGGAGAGAATTCTGGGAAAACCCTTAGTCATATTAACATATCAAAGGAAGAAGCTGACAGGCAGTTACTAAACAATCCGCATTCAGCCATTGCTATAGAACGCTTCCTTCCAAATTTTCTATTGGAAGGAAAATAAGAAATTAAATTACATTCAACCCTGTCTACTCAGACAGCTGATTTCTCTCCCCCTCAAAAGCCTGTTTGTTTAATGATTTAGATCTGCTCTAGCTATACACATTTATTTCAAAACTATAAAAATGTTGACAAGCACTCCAATTTGTTTTATACTACAAGCTAGGTTGATGCCATATTGGAACCAGGAAAATGTGTTTGTATTTGACATAAGCAGCATGAAGGCAGAAAAGTATGTGTTCTTTTTTCCATCTTACTTATAGAGGCTCAATTGCATTACGACTAAATGGTGGATTACACGCTTTGAGTGAAACTTAATTGTACCCATGCACTGGAACTGCGCCTCGGACAGGAGATGGGATGGCAAGCCCAATATTTCTTGCATCATTGCTGAAGAATTGAAACCAAATGATGTTTCCAATAGAATGGGCAAGGCCACCCAGATCTTCCCCTTACTGACTCAGATCTTCACCCAGATCTTCCTTTCTTACTGAGAAAGGTTGTTTTCTGCTGCTCCAGAGAAGTGGACACGGAGCAATGGATCCAAACTACAAGAAAGAAGATTCCACCTAAACATTAGGAAGAACTTCCTGACAGTAAGAGCTGTTCGACAGTGGAATTTGCTGCCAAGGAGTGTGGTGGAGTCTCCTTCTTTGGAGGTCTTTAAGCAGAGGCTTGACAACCATATGTCAGGAGTGCTCTGATGGTGTTTCCTGCTTGGCAGGGGGTTGGACTCAATGGCCCTTGTGGTCTCTTCCAACTCTATGATTCTATGACTCTTTTTGATCTCCCAGTCTACTCTCTACAGCCATGGACATTAGAAATAGTCATTGGTATTTCATGTGGATGTTCCTTTCATCTGTCTTTTTATGGCACCTAGGTCAAATGCTCTGGAGACAAGGTCCTGTTGCCTTCCATACAAATGCTTTTCCTGCTAGCAAAACAGGGGGAAGGCATTGGACACTAGTAAAATCCAAGCAGAAAGAAAATACTGGCACTCCATAGTTCTGTCAGGTCATCCATCAGGAGAAGAAGCAAGACCAATAAAAAATGTTGCTCTGTATCTCCACCCCTCTGAGAGAGGTCCTCCTCTTCAGGGCTCCTTCCAATGCTGTTCAGACCTTGGGATGCAGGTCCATGCGTTCCCTCTGCCTCCTGTACCATATCATGGTAGAAGGCTCGTGTTTGGAGCTGGCTAGAACCCTTTGGCTTTATTATCTATTTATTTACTTCTGGAAACATCAGGGTTCCCTTGAGAAGGCCAACACTGCCCTCGTGTTTCTCAGTGACCTCATTCTGTCAGCACTCACCACTTGAATTCATTATCAACAAGAGTGATGTTTGAGATATCGCCAGCCACAGGAACAGTGTGGAATATTAAGCAGTTGCCTAGGCAATGTAAATTGAACAGCCTGACCTTGGTGGAAATGGAGACATCCCCCAAGAATTTCGCTTGCGTAATTGGGCCTTTCTTTTTTGTGATGCTCTTCAGAGTAAGCAGCGACCATATTGCACTTTCAAGCATTAATGTGTGTTGGTTGTATTTAATTAATGTATTTTGATATGCTGTAACCTGTCCTATGACCATATCATGAAGGGCAGGATAGAAATTCTTAAAATAATGAATATAATATTTGGTATAGCTTATTATACAAAAGAGAAGGATAATGAGAGACAAACCTGGGCACCGGTGTTACTATGGTGCCTAGATGGAGCACAGTAATTCAGAACTCACTCTAGACACAATGCAAAGCAGTGTACTAGTATGAACATATCAGGGTTTTCCTAAAAAGAAGCTGTCTACCCAAACTGACTTTGCCATGTACGTATGTAAGGAAGGACTTAGCTAATTGGGGAATAAAACATCGTTTTCATAACCTAATTCACTTGTCTTGTCTCTATCCTAAGTAGAAAGTACATAGGAAGCCGTCTTATACTAAGTCAGACCACTGCAACTTGCCTGCATTGCCTACACAGGCTGGCAGCTGCTCTCCAGGATTTCAGGCAAGGAGTCTTCTGGAGCTGCTAGGAATGGAATCTGGGACCTTCTGCATGCAAAGCCATGTTCTACCACTGAACTCTGGCCCTTCCACTACAGGAAGCTGCCTTATCCTGAGAATAAGACCACCCCTACCTGGAGATGCTCTACTACAGCACTAGAGGCTGTGCAAATAATTCCTACACCTTTTTATAACTGAGAGTGGATGTTCAGGGCTGCTGCAATATTCCACAGTTCTCTTTAAGAGAGATTCGAGTGAAAGCTATTTTAATCAACTGGAAAATATGGGTTTTGTTACTGCTGAGGATTTTTGAAACATTTGTGGCTAAAGCTCACCGTGCATGGAAAGGGTTCCGTTCCTCACAGCCAGAAATTTGGCCCCATATGGAAAGGATGCTGGAGAGTGCAAACTGCCATGGAGGTGGAGTTGGGCTTTGCCACAGAAAGGCTGACCTGGAGAGCCAACCCGAAGTTCTCCTCCATCTGACACCAGAATGTAATGAGCATGGAGCTCTATTGGCCCAGGGCCAACAAACACAAGCTTGCCTCCTGAAACAGAAACAGCATTAACAATAATTAACAGTAGGAAGGTGTAGTCTCAGCAACATAGCAGAACTGTCTTGTTCATTATATAATCTCCCCACTATCCCCCTGCCCCAACAAAGAAGGCAAACATTATAGTGGTACCTCAGTTTTCAAACATCTCCGTTGACGAACATTTCAGTTTTTGTACACCATAAACCCAAAAGTAAATGCTTCGGTTTTTGAGCACACATCGGAAGTCGAACATGCCATGTGGCTTCCTCTGAGTGCAAGATCCTGATGCCTAAAGGTAAAGGGGTCCCTGACCATTTGGTCCAGTTGTGGCCGGCTCTGGGATTGCGGTGCTCATCTCGCTTTATTGACCGAGGGAGCTGGCATACAGCTTCCGGGTCATGTGGCCATCATGACTAAGCCGCTTCTGGAGAACCAGAGCATTGCACAGAAACGCCGTTTACCTTCCCGCCAGAGCAGTACCTATTTATCTACTTGCTCTTTGACGTGCTTTGGAACTGCTAGGTGGGCAGGAGCAGGGACCGAGCAACGGGAGCTCACCCCTTCGCAGGGATTCGAACCGCTGACCTTCTGATCGGCAAGCCCCAGGCTCTGTACTTTAACCCACAGCGCCACCCGCATCCATCCTGAGGCCTAGCTGTCAGCTATTTTCAGTTTTTGAATGTTTCAGAACTCGAACGGTCTTCCGGAACAGATTACGTTCTAAAACCAAAGTACTACTGTATCTCCAAAATGAAAAAGCATGAAGCAGCATTTAACAGGTCATTATGGGAGGGTTTTCAAAGACATGTTGGTAAAAAAAGAAGCTATCTGCACCAACTCTGTCCACAATCCCCCTCACCTAACAACACTGTGATAATCTGGTCTTTAAAAGTGAATTTTTACTTGTATTGGTTATGTCTTGCAGTTTATATTTATTTAATAAAAACAACTACATTTTATTTCTTGTCCCACTGTAATATGCTTTATTTATTTATTTATTTATTACATAACTAAATCCTGAACATAATAAACATAAATTTAAATACAAAGGCAAACTCTAACATACTTTACTTTCAAACTTTTCCTTACCTGAAATTAGGGTACTTCATTACTCCTGGGCCACTCATGTGTCCCGCACCATCCTCTCACCCCAAAAAAAGTGGGGTGAGTGCATGGCATGAGAGCACAGCACCAGCACTCTGGGCTCATTAGAGGGTCATGTTGGAGTGCTGGACCTTCAGCACTCTGGTGTGACCCTGCTCACGAGCGCCAGAATCTTTTGGTCTAGCGCTCAGGCACAAAGACTCACCCTAGAACACTGGATCAAAACATGGGACATCCGGGAATCAACCAGAAACTGGGATTGGCTTCTGTGATTCCAGGATGTCCTGCTTAAAACAGGGCAGTTGAAGGGTATGCAATTTACATTGGGTAGTATACAAAACAGAAATGGAGATGCCACTGGACTCCCATTCCCATCAGTCCCTGGAAGCATGAACAATGGTAAGAGTCATGGAACTGCAGGTCCCTACATCTGAAGGGCCAAAGTTCCCCATCCCTGATATAAAAGATCTTTTCCACAAAGAGAAAATCTTCCACAAAGAGAAAGTTAACACCTTTCATGAGAGCAGGTCTCTCCTGGAGCTTTGCAAAAAATGGAACCAAAGATTTTTAGAGCCCTGATTTACATATGAAATAAGGAGAAAACCATATTTCTAAACAATTGTGTTGTTTTGATACTTCAGGGTAAGTCCTATTGAACTCAGTTGGGTTACTTCTGAGTGTATAGGATTGTGCTGAGTGTATAGGATTGTGCTATTAAGGTAAAGGTAAAGGTACCCCTGCCTGTACGGGCCAGTCTTGCCAGACTCTGGGGTTGTGCGCCCATCTCACTCAAGAGGCCGGGGGCCAGCGCTGTCCGGAGACACTTCCGGGTCACGTGGCCAGCGTGACATCGCTGCTCTGGCGAGCCAGAGCCGCACACGGAAACGCCGTTTACCTTCCCACTAGAAAGCGGTCCCTATTTATCTACTTGCACCCGGGGGTGCTTTCGAACTGCTAGGTTGGCAGGCGCTGGGACCGAACAACGGGAGCAAACCACCGACCTTTCGATCGGCAAGCCCTAGACGCTGAGGCTTTTACCCACAGCGCCAGATTGTGCTATTACTTTGTCAGTTAATACAGTTTGCCAGATCCAGTAGTCTGAACGAGTTTTGTGATGTGCATAAATCTTCATACTGAATATGTGAGTACCTATTGTCAAAGAACAAAAGCAGCATCATATGAGCTCACTTTTAACTCACATGCTTCATCATTTGAGGCCGGTCAACTCCATATCAGATACTACAGGTTATACAGAGCCAAGTCATCATTTTACTGCACTGAAAAATAGCCAGACTGCTATTTCAGGTTAGACTTAAGTGTGTGTGTCCAATATGAACATGAAGAATTGCAAGCAGATATGGACATGGGCGGCACAGGTCAAATGCTTTATTTGCATTCTGAGGAGAATATTGTAGCCTATATAAAATTAGAACAGAAAGCAAATCAATTAGACTACTGGAATATATGAGTGACCTTTTGGCCCAACTAAAAATGATATCCAGTGATATGCTGCTACTAATCTTTAAAGAGGCAACCAGCAATCCTTTTCCTTCAGCAAAGGTAAAAGTAAAAATAAAAGGTAAAGAGACCCCTGACCGTTAGGTTCAGTCCCTGACGACTTTGGGGTTGCGGCGCTCATCTCACTTTATTGGCCGAGGGAGCCGGCATACAGCTTCCGGGTCATGTGGCCAGCATGACTAAGCCGCTTCTGGCAAACCAGAGCAGCGCACGGAAACGCAGTTTACCTTCCCGCTGGAGTGGTACCTATTTATCTACTTGCACTCAGACGTGCTTTTGAACTGCTAGGTTGGCAGGAGCAGGGACCGAGCAACGGGAGCTCACCCCATCGTGGGGATTCAAACCGCCGACCTTCTGATCGGCAAGCCCAATCTCTGTGGTTTAACCCACAGTGCCACCCACGTCCCTTTTCTTTCAGTAGGTTGCAGTAAAACTCTCGTGTTCCTGGAGTAACTTTGCTTGAACTGTGTGAGCCAGTGTGAATCCTGGGCAGGTGGGAGGAAGGCTAAGGGAGAAAACATGTGAAAAACCTTATGCTGAACTGTTCATACCACTATGACTAAAACACAGTTTTTTAAGAAAAGAAAATTGAAAGTGTTTGAAGCTATATGGGGGAAATAAAGAGCTCATACAACCATTGTCAATGTATGTGATAAATGCAAGCCTAAATCTACTTTTCAGGTGATGCTCAAAGTTCTATTCCACTTTAAAAGAAGGGAGCACTGCTTTCTCTCATTGCCGTAAATTTTGTCTTTTTGAAAATCCAGCCACTTATTAAGAGCCAGAGTGCCAAATGAATAAACATGAGGAAAAGAAATGACTGGGAAGGATTAAATTCAAACTCCTTGCCTGATTTAATTATAACACTTTCAAAGTTTACAGGCATTTAGGTCCAACTGTGTCTTAACTGCTAGTTCTCTGAACCCAGCCCTTCCTGCACTCTGTTAGTGCAAAATAAGTATGCAGCTACTGCCTTGCAGGGTTGATTTTTTCCTTGTTTTTAAGCTGCTGCTCCTTCTTGCTTTCATAGCACTTGACCCCTCTTCTAAGAGCAGAAAAGAATGAATATTACTCAAGCAAGTGTTTGGCTCCAGCTTCTCTACTGTTTGTTCTGGCGCTCCAAGAAAGCAAGGAATATCTTACATATGACCTTAGGGTAATTCTGTAAAAATATCACTGAACTAGAGCAATGATGGCCTTCCTACCAAGCAAAATAAATACAATTATACCAAAAATAATCACTTCTATATAGTTACAAGAGAGACATTTCCCAACGCACTCTTCCCCTCATACGAGGAAGGTAAAGAGAAACATCTTGAGGCTGATTGATGCTTGGAGAAACCATCAAAATTACCAGTCATCTCAAATAAACTTTAGTCTCTACTCCCAGGCATTTCCCCTTTAAAAAAGAAAGAACTTGGTTGCTCCCGAGAGGAGGCCATGCTGCAAAAGTCTGTGAAATGTAAATGGAAATCGGCCAGGGAACATGCCAGCCTTGTAGGTATTGCACAAGGGGCCACTCAGCCATTCCTCCTTTCCTGGGATTTTTTTGTTTTTATTTCTGCTACATATCACTTGCGACTTTCTCCTGAACTGGCATCACTTTTAGATTGCATATTTCCATTGGACACGAGAGACTACACAAAGCCTCAGCAAGAGGTAGCAACCGTGTCCTTTTGCTGTACTCAAAATATAACAAAGTTAATGTTACCTAGGGGAGAGTCCCACAGAGGTAAAGGTAAAGAAAAACCAGAAAAGTCTATCTAACAATTAGCAAGACTTAAACCTTTGGAGATTTGCTCTTGTGCATAACGACAAGAGAGGATGATTTCAGGAAGATTGGTGAGGTTCCTGGGTGGGTGTTTGAGGCCAGTGATAGGAATTTCAAGGAAAGTAAAAAAATAATGCAGATGAGAAATTCAGGACAGGAGGAGGATGACATCAGTACCATACTTTTGTCATTAGTTATACTGGTCAGTCTAACTTTGTGGATTTCTTACATGCACTATATAGTAATTTTTGCATTGCATTTATCCAGCTTGCGTTAAACATATTTTTTCACCAACTGCAGATCCACAGCACACTAGGGATACCAATTCCAGTCCCAGTTAAGCAAGGCATTTAAACAGGTGCTGGATTTTTAATATGCAAGTGCTCCCATTAGAATTCATAGAACTCAATGTGTGCTTAAAGTCAAGCAGTGTATGAAAGCACTTTTCTGGATCAAAGCCTTCCTCCCACTCTGAGTTATACACAGGCAGATGCTTGAACACTCTCAGTCAGAAATCAACTCCCCAAACTGATGTCCATGTTTCTTGGCCATCTGCATGTGTGCCCATCTGTTCAGATGGCATGGGCTCCCTTGCAAGCTGCTTGGACTCCTTCCTGACAGTACCAGAGCCAAGCAAGGGTGATTTAATCAGCAGCTCGAATAAGGCATCTCTTCTGGAGGAAAACTGCGCCACATGAACAGAAATGAAACAGCATCGCGTTCGGTGTGGTTAGTCAAATGTGGCTCTGTGTGCCAAAGAAAACAAATGCCAGAGAGGAAGAAAGGTTATGACCATAACATGCAGGCATTTGCGCTTGCTCTGGAACAGCACGAATGGCAGTGGGTGTTCTGTATATTGGGGGTGGACTCCCTATATATTACATAGATAATTTATTTGTATGGCCTTCAGAGAGATAAGAAACAGCAGTCCTGCAATGGGTCATAGCAAGCAATCACTTCCTTGTCTCCCCAATTGTTTAAGCAGTTACTCAGGCAGCATCACTATTTGAATTCAAAGTAAAGTAAGGTAAAAGAGCCCCGGACAGTTAAGTCCAGATGAATTCATCTCTGCTTTCAAGCTGGGGGAGCCGGAGTTTGTCCACAGACAGCTTTCTTGCTCATGTGGCCAGCATGACTAAACCGCTTCGGACACAACGGAACACCGTGACAGAAGCCAGAGTACACAGAAACACCGTTTACCTTCCCGCCACAGCAGTACCTATTTATCTACTGGCACTGGTATGCTTTCGAACTGCTAGGTTGGCAGGAGCTGGGACAGAGCAATGGGAGCTCACCCTGTCGCACGGATTCAAACCGCTGACCTTCCGATTGGCAAGCCCAAGAGGCTCGGTGGTTTAGACCACAGAGCATTATGATGACATCTGCTCTGTAGGGGTCCAGGACTATTTCTAATTTCAACTGAAACGTTAAAGCTAAAACAACCTGGCTGCTTATTATACACAGAACCTGCTCTGCAACTTTCTCTGCAGCAGCTGCTATGGGAAGAAGTGATTAATCAGTGTCCATATTTGAAAAGCCAATACAATAAACCGATTGGCTAATGAAGGCACTACATTTCAAGATCTGGAGGAATGAAATGCAGGGATGGTAAGAAATGAGGTGAATTAAGGCAACCATCAATCCACACTTCCCATGTGTGGAGTGGCTTGCCTGGCAAAGGTGGTATCTAAGAATCTGCATAGAACATCTAGCACAACAAAGCTGTAATTGTTTTGGAGGGTTCCTAGAAAATTTAAGGGCTTTAATATTCAGAGAACAAACAGAGTTGGCTCACACATGCATGTTCATTATCTGATGACTGCAGCATTGTGACAATTTGCACGTGCAGACAGGCCTGACATGTTGTCTCAACCACACAGTTTACCCATTCCACTGCCAGTCATTGGGTTATGTAACAAAGCAATGAGAAATCAAGTAATCACACCAAGGCTCTTATTAAACTCCACCTGTGCCACTTCTTACATTGTACAAGTAGAGGAAATGTACTGATCAACCATTTTGCTAAAGCTTTGCAGAAGTGGAATGCAATTTCTTTTGTTAATAGAGCTAGGATTAACTTTCACTGAGGCACCAGAGAAGCCTGGGATGAATCTTAGCAGCTGCCAAAGATGCATATAATCAACTTTGTTGGCTAATAAGAGCTGTAGGAATCTCATGTGCAAGCTGTTGCCTCATCCTTGGCAGGTCTAGAAATAGATGTGTGCATCCTGTACTGAGTCACAAATCAGAATTTACAAAGATCAAAGGTACTGAAAATCAGTCAACTGATATTTGATGGGATTTTCTTCCTATTCCAACTGAATTCCATCTGAATAGCAAACAGGTATTTCCCCTTTGTACATAGCTTTTCCAAGACTATGACAATCCTAGATACAACATATAAACAGAAGGTAAAGAAGTTTCCTTCTTTAATAATAAAAACCACACACACACACACAAGCATATATACTGAAGTAGACTGTCCATTAGTTGGTGGAATTTATTTATTTTTTAAAAAAAATTACAACATGGTCATTGCTAGAATCATTCTGACTGTATTTAAATTATAGCATTTTTTAATGATAAAAACTGAATACTAACTAAAAACTGAATCCAAAATTATATCTAAAAAGGTTTGAGCAAAACTAAAAAATGGATTAGATAAATGGGAACTACATTCAGGCAATGCAGTATAAAAATAATGAAGATGTCTAGTCAGTGAAAGCGTTTTTGGTTTTTTTTTAAGTCTAGCTACTGGCTTCACATGGACCACACATCAGTTCATACTCATGCACCTTTATATTGAGCAGATTTTTTAAAAATAAAAATAATGGGATTGTGGTGGGATCAGGACAAACCTGTCTCTGACTTAGATATAGAATTTGAAACTTTACTTAAAAAGGATTGCCAGCAAATACTGGAAGAAAACAAAACAACAGCACTTTGATCTCCAGATGCCAGCAGATAAAACTTTTTTGTAGAATTAAGCCTCATTAGCTGCTAACATCTTCAGATGATGAGAATTGCTCCATGGAAAAACTGGAAATCAATAGGTATAAAACTGAAGAATTAAAATGCTACCTTCAAAACCCTGTCCCCTATCTAAACCGTTTTTTCTGTGTCTTTTCCCACACTCTGTTGATAGAACTATCTTTTCAACAAAACTGGAGGAAGTTAGTTGAATTTCTTCACAGCACTCTGCCTTAACAGGGGTCCTCCTTCGGGTGAAAAACACCAACTTCTATTTTTCTAAGAAAAGTTACAACACCATAAATGAGATGCAGTGAGAACCTCTGAAACAGTGTGTGACGTGTGTGCATGTATGCGCACACATGCACAAGTTTGCATGTGTATATATTATGTGGTGCCGTGGTGTAAACCACTGAGCCTAGGGCTTGCTGGTCGGAAGGCCGGTGGTTCGAATCCCCGCGATTGGGTGAGCTCCTGTTGCTCAGTCCCTGCTCCTGCCAACCTAGCAGTTCGAAAGCACGTCAAAGTGCAAGTAAATAAATAGGTACCGCTCCGGCCAGCTTCTACAAGACATTAAATTGATGGAATGCCTACCCCACCCTTCCTCCAACGTGTGCACGGTTCTCCCCTCCCCCATTTTATCCTATCACCCCTACAAGGCAGGTTAGGCTGGAGAGAACAGCTAGCCTAAGGTCACCCAGTAAGTTTCGTGACTGAGTGACTATTTGAATTGGGCTCTCCCTGGTCTTGCTCCAACCTTTTAATTATGCCAGCATGCAGCAATGCAGAGCAACGCAGGGTTTCCTCACCTTCCAGATACGTTTTAGAACACGCACACACCATCGTTGTCTTTTTACACACCACACGTTGCTGGACGTGTGTGAACTGGAGCTGTTCTCTGAGAAGCACAACCAGGTCCAATGACAAATGCAACAGCTCATATAAAACCAGCTCCTTCCGCTCAGACTTAGGGAACATCATTACAGCCAGGAGCACAGACAGTAAGAGCTTGTGTATGCGCTCGGGTGCAACACCTTTGCTCCTCTGTGGCCTCTCCCACCTCAAGGCATAACACACAGTGGAGTGGGCTTACTGGTTTGTTTCTGTTTTACTGTGTATTTTGTGTTCTCATTTTGTATTTTTCTGCTGTGATTGTTGGACAAAGGGCGGTATACAAATTTAATACAGGAGGAGGAGGAGGAGGAGGAGGAGGAGGAGGAGGAGAACCCCAGCAAGTGCTAAAGGCCCCCAAACAGCCTGTGCTCACTGACTGCTTGGACTCCCAATTATTCTTTAAACATTCCTCCCATGATGGCACCAACTCACTTTCTCTCTCCCACCTTCTCCTTTTCCCACTGGATTTGCTTCTCCCTCGCCCACTGCTAGCCCCTGTTCTCGACTGCCACTATGCCGAAGTCCATTGCAATTGAAAAAAACCACACATTCTTCCCCATGCTTCCATTCCCCTTTGCTTACCTGCTCCTATTTTAGACTGGGATGTGGGTGGCGCTGTAGTCTAAACCACAGAGCCTAGGCTTGCCAATCAGAAGGTTGGCAGTTCGAATCCCTTTGACGGGGTGAGCTCCCGTTGCTCAGTCCCTGCTCCTGCCCACCTAGCAGTTTGAAAGCACGTCAAGTGCAAGTAGATAAATAGGTACCACTCCAGCGGGAAGGTAAATGGCGTTTCCGTGCACTGCTCTGGGTCGCCAGAAGTGGCTTAGTCATGCTGGCCACATGACCTGGAAGCTGTCTGCGGACAAACGCCAGCTCCCTCGGCCTATAGAGCGAGATGAGCATGCAACCCCAGAGTCGTCCACGACTGGACCTAACGGTCAGGCGACCTTTACCTTTACCTATTTTAGATTAGAACATCATGCATGTAGATGGTGGTAAGCCACCATAATAGTAGCATTAAACGATTCTATAAACACATTGCCTTGGATCTTAAAATAAGTGTAACTTAAGGAAATTCCTGGAAGAAGGCTTCCTTTCCCTTTCATTCCTTTCCACATTGGTCAGAAAGGACCCCTTGCCCCCTAGAGAAGCTTTTCAGGGGTGGCATGGTGAAGAGAGGAAACTTTCCTCACATGAACTTCCTTAAGTTTATTTATTTTAGGTTTCAAGCTTCTGGCATTCTGACACGCAGGCCTCAGCGGTGGAAGCTGCAAGGGGCAACATGAATTCTGCACACTTAAATGCAGCAGCAGCAGCTTATTAGTGAGACCATTGCTGTTGTTACTCCTTCATGTGCAGGTGAAACAAAGCAGAAAGGTATCTTGCCCCTCAAGCAGCACTGAACAAGCATAAAATAAGAGGTTTAAGTGTTAATAAAGCAACAGAATAAAGCAAATGAATAGATGCCATTTCCTTCCTATGGGGGGGGGGGGGGCGGCGGAGGGATAGGAGAGGACGAAATTTGCTCAGACCTTTGACATGAAGCAAGTTAAGGATCCTTGTGTTTGTATCCAAGAACAAAGTCTGGCCTCTTTCTACTGTGACATTATCGCCATCTTGTGGTTGGTGCCCAGTAAGCCAGCTGATGTTCTTTGACCAGAATCCACAAAATTTAAGAGGGAGGGTGCCCTAAAAATGAAACAGAAAGCAAAAATGGTTAGTAATACAAACTTTGGGGTTTTGTGTTTGTTTGTTTTTTTTTGGGGGGGGGGGACATGATCAGCTAGGCAGATTGTGGGATCTTTCTTTTTTTTAAAAAAAATATTTATTAAAATTTCAAACAAAATTACAATAATACAAAAAAGCAAAAATAAAAAAGAGAAAATAAAATACAAAAAAACAGAAAAAATAGAATAACAATTAAAAACAAATCAGTATTTCCATATCTTGGCTTTCGTTCACTTGTTTCCCGGACCTCCTCACACCTCCCTTCTTTGCATCCCAGATCAGTTAATTAATTCAGCAAATCCTTTCCCTTTTTTTTTCTTTTCTTAATCCTTAATCTTAGTATATTATTACTTCAAGTTCCCATCTATTAACAATCCATTTTTACATAAACCTTAATAACATTGCTGCTAAAACCACTTAACTTCATTCCAACATCATTCTAACATTCATTAATTTTACAATATTTCTGTAAATAGTCTTTGAATTTCTTCCAATCTTCTTCCACCGACTCTTCTCCCTGGTCTCGGATTCTGCCGGTCATCTCCGCCAGTTCCATATAGTCCATCACCTTCATCTGCCATTCTTCCAGGGTGGGTAAATCTTGTGTCTTCCAGTACTTTGCAATAAGTATTCTCGCTGCTTTTGTAAGATTGTGGGATCTTTCTTTGGCCTGTCCTGTCCTCCAGGTGATGCAGTCATAAAGTCAAGACCAAGGGAAGAAATATGAGCGTAAGATTCTTAATCTCAAGGTTGTGGGTTCGTGCCCCATGTTGGGCGAAAGCAGTGCTTTTTTCTGGGGGCACTCAGGGGTACACATTACTGGCACCTTTTTTCTAGAAGGAAATCACTGGGCAAAATATTCCTATGTTGCAAGGTGTTACCCAAGATGATGTTTGTGGTCCCGTCCAACTCTACAGTTCTGTGATTCTATGGTCTTCTTTTGCAGAAGACAGAAGTATGAGCTGCAGGTACAGCAAATCAGCTCAAGGATCAGCCAAACTGACATCTCGTCAGAGCATCCAGGAAAAGCCAACTATCATCCCTGAGAAAACCAGGAAACAGAAAGAAGGAGGTGGAGACTGAGATGCCACCCAATGCCTCAGTTCATAAATCAGCTCCTTCAGCTCCCCTCCTCCCTCATATTCAGAGGAACTAGATATTATCCATAGGAATGGGAGGGTGTTAAAATTTCATTGTGGTTTTGTTTTCAAAATCAGTATCTGAAAAGACAAACACAGAGACAGGTATCTTGTGGCCTCGTTTATTTTATGGTTTGATTTTAGAGAATTTGGTTGATTTTATGGCTGTTGTGAACTGCTTTGGGGACAACTAGTCGAAAAGCAGAATACAAATCTGGTAAAAAAGCTCTGAAATATACTTTGCAACCCTTGTCCATACTCTAGAAACATTCTGCCCTCTGTGTGGGAGTGCCATTGAAAACAAACCAGAAACAGCAACATGTACAAGGCTCATGTCCCAACAGGTCCAAGGGGCAACTTGCACAACACCAATTTGAGTTCAGCTATTATGGTTGCCTGTAAGTGTATAAGCCCAGTTCAAAGTGTTGGTGCTTAAGTTCAATGTCTTCTACTATAATACTTCCCATTCTTTCAAATCTGCTGACAGGACTCTGCTCCAGATTTCAACCTTCACCTACATTAAGTGGAAAGATCAGTCCATGTATTTATCATCCATCCCTAAGCTAATGTTGTGAACCCATTGCATCCCAATTGCACACTAATCTGTAGGGGTTTTTTGTTGTTCTGCATATTTTATCACGAAATATGCTGTTTAATTATGCATTTTATCCCAATGTATGAATTTCTAAGTGCATATCACCCACACTTAAATACGGTATGTTTTTTGAAACAGGAACTGTATCACCGAATTCAAAGAAGTGAGAAATCAGGAGGATTAATATATTCAAAAACACACATTAGTCCAGGAGGTGCAAAGCTGTATCCATTCTCACCAGAATTTACTGAAACGGAAATGCATAAATGCTCCTAACAAGAGTAAGGAGCAGTGACTTCTTTGCCCTGGTGGATGCAATATTGGACACATTCCCCACTCCTTCATCACTGCATGAGTCTGCTCTGCCCCACATTCCACTCTCTTCAAATTCCAGTTTAACAGGGAGAATTTCTAAAATTAATTTCAGCATGCAGTTTGCTGCAGCTTTCATTTCACTTGAAGCAAATGTTACTAATGTGTACAGACATTTTGACAAAACATTTGATAAAACAAGGTGTACAGACAATTTGATAAAACATTTGAGTTGTTTGAATGTATGGATAAAATTGTATAAAGATTGCTTTGGTGCTCTTGCGACACTCAAGTGAAGTGATAAACACACAACACAAATATGTATATACAATACCATTCTTCTGAGATGTAGCAAATGCCACAGGAGACAGAATCGGGATTCAAGATGACCTTAGCAGATTGGAGAACTAGGCCCAAGCTAACAAAATGAATTTCAATAGGCCAAATGCCTGGTTCTACATGCAGGCTGGAAGAACCAGATGCACAAATATAAGACTGGGGGGGGGCACGCGGCTTGCCAGTAATGCCTGTGAAAGTGATCTAGGGGTCTTAGAAGACCACAAGCTTAACAGGAGTCAACACTGTGATGCAACTGCAAAAAAGCTAATGCTACTCTAGGCTGCATCTACAGAAGTATTACAGTGGTACCTCGGGTTAGGAACTTAATTTGTTCTGGAGGTCCGTTCTTAACCTGAAACTGTTCTTAACCTGAAGCACCACTTTAGCTAATGGGGCCTCCCACTGCTGCCACGCTGCTGCTGCACGATTTCTGTTCTCATCCTGAAGCAAAGTTCTTAACTTGAGGTAATATTTCTGGGTTAGCAGAGTCTGTAACCTGAAGTGTCTGTAACCCGAGGTACCACTGTATTATAATTTTTATTTACATTTGTATACTTCCCATTACCTAAAGATCACAGGGTGGTTCACAACATAAAAATACGGAATTTAGTATAGTAGACTGTCAAAAGTCATAGCCCTGTTCTATTCTGCTTCAGTCAAACCACACCCGGAGTCCTGTGTCCAGTTCAGGGCACCTCAGTTTAAGAAGGATATTGATAAGCTGGAAGGTATGCAGAGGAGAGCAACCAAGATAATCAAGGGTCTGGAAACCAAGCCTTATGAGGAACGGTTGGGGGAGCTGGGTTTCAGCCTGGATAAGAGGAGGCTGAGAGTAGATATGATAGCCATCTTCAAATATCTCAAGGGCTGTCACTTTCTGTTCAGCAGAGAGAAAAATGAGTTAAGTAGGGAGAAGCTAAACTAGGAGAAGCCACAACTGAGAAGCATAAAGTCTGCAAATCATCTTCAAAATTCCATTGTGGGTGATTTGGAAAAGTTTGAGAACATCACCTAACAATTGCTAGTTACTAAGTAACATGTAATCCTATTTCTTTCTAGTGTTCAGTAAAATACTGAATGAAGGGGTGCTTTTGTTTATCCTAAATATTACTGAGAATTGGATTCAACTTATGATTCCTGTTGGTTATTTCCTGCCCCCCCCCCCCATTCCTGCCCCCCCACACCAGAATTGGATTGGGATGGTGGGGTGAACCCCTATAGCAGCACATGGGGAAATTGCCAGTAAATGCAGCAAAACATCAGCACTCATCAGCTCAGTCCCCTCCCAGCCCCCTCCAACCAATCTGCATGTTTATAAAACCCACCAAGTGATAGCAAACTTCCAAGCTAACGTAAATGAAATGAAAGTAGTTGCTTGGTGGGGCTCAGTCCAAGCAGCAATTGTTGCCACATACAACAGGACTGAAAGTCGTCATCATCACCCAGATTGCGTCTAAGTCAAGAAGCCCTATTCCCTGTTTCCCCAGAGAATTGATATAAATAAGATGGGAGGAGTCACGATACAACTGGTTGATTAAAAACCCTGTAGGGTCAGGCGAAGCTACATTGAGTCCACTGTCTCTGTGGGATGCTTCTGGGAATGGACACGGAGTGGAGATTTTTGTGCAAGTCTGAGAGTGTGTCCACTACACATTCGTACCTGCACAGCTGAAGCAAGCATGAAGAGGGGGCGAAAAGCAGCTGTGAACCCACAGAACTACACTTGTGGAAGGGTCCTGCCTATACGAGACGGAGACAGCTGAATGCAACAAGGGCGAGGTACGTATCTGTCATCATCCTCAGTAACACTGTCCAAAAGCAGCAGGTGCAGGCAGAAAATTGCTCAGTAGCCAAAGCCTGGTATGTCTCTAGGCCATTTGCATTCCCAATATTTGGAGGGCATCCCATTAGTAGATTAACAGGTGTGAAAAATAAGAAAATAGGTGCCATTCCTGGAATATTGCTGACTGAACTAATTGTTTCATGTGGCTTCACGATATGACCTGGGGAGCACTGGTTAAAAATATCAGCTCAGACATGCCTAAGGAAATGAACACCCAGCCTAGGAGGGACCCTCCATTTAAGAAACTTAAAATAGTAAAGACCCTACTCTCAGTATTGATGCAAGGACTGATGGAGTAGATGTCATAGAGCAGGGGTCGGCAAGGTTTACCTCGCCTGGGCCGGTTCACTCCAGCAGAGATTCCTCCGTGGGCTGGATTGCGTGTGCGCATGAGTGCATGCGCCTGCGATTTCTGGCATCTGTGCAGACACGATTTCCGGTGCCGACAGAAGCGAATCCCCGCCCCGCGCTGGTTTAGTGCAGCGTGCGGGGACTTGCAGAGCGGGTGGCTCAGTTTCAGGGGGGCTCGGGGGGGCAGTTAAATGACCCCCGTGGGCCGCTTGTGGCCCATGGGCCTTAAGGTTGCTGACCCCTGTCATAGAGCATATGGAATATTACAGATGTTCTGTGCTATTTATTTGTCAGCATAACGTTTCCTGCAAACCCTAATCCTTTACGGCGAAAGAGCATTGCATTGTCTCCATTTTGCAGATGTAAACCTTTCTGAGAGCAT